TGGCCATCGGGCTACAATAGGCTCAGCACCCAACATGTCCACTTTCCTCTGCTCTGCTGAACATATACCCACAACTTCCACTGTTCAGACCAAGTATCAATTTTATTCTGGTGTACACCTTTGTCTTTGACTACCACACATTCCTTTTGCAGAGTTTCCCTAACATGTTCAAATACTTTTATTTGGCACCCTTTGATTTAGCAAACAGGGCAGCTTTGCTTCTGTTAAATGGCAAAAATCCCATTAAGCCTATGGTTAAAAGAGTAAATTAAATGCCGAGAAGTAAAGAAATATAGAACTGCAGCATTGCTTGCACCATCAGATAGTAAAAAGAATAATGGTTTCCGTAGGCAGCTCATTCAGCCCTTTGCTAATTGGAGACCACATTTTGGATTCCCAAATGATTGGCTGAAATATTTCCGCATTCACTTCCTTACAGCATATTCATTAAATTACATGTGGATACCTTATTTTTTACATTATCTTTTTTTTCCTTCAGGTATGGTTAGATAGATTTTTCCTCTCCAGTATACTATCTTTATGTCTTAGCACAAAGATAATGATCCAGTGGAAATTGCCCCAATTATCCATTTTCTTCCCCTTTGGCATTTAATGTGTCCCAATTTAATATCCTTAAGTGTTGTTTATTAGAGTTTAACTCATCCCAAACTTCTGTCTCAGCTCTTATTAACACTTCTACTGAAAATATGGACAAGCTGCTGCATGGAGAAGACAGGTAGACTGGATGTAGACATGCCGACAGGGTTGAAGCCTTGAGCCCTGCATAGCCCAAGCTTCCCCCACAAAAATAAAAATACCCGGACTGTGGCAGACAGGCCTTCTGAGCTCAACAGCCAGCAAAGCCATTTATATTTATTAAATTTATGAACCGCACCAATAGTCCCATATCACAGGATCAATGTTTGCTTCAGCTACTGATTTGTTTTTATCTTAATCTGCATGGTTGGGAAATTCAGGCTTCCTGCTTGAAATAGGTTGCAGTCTCTAGACACCACTGTTGCATCTCTGCACCCCCCCCCCCCTTTAAATTGCAGGTATTAATGATGCATGGAATTCTCAGGACTTCGCACAAGCATTTGTTCTGGCCTCAACTGGAGCATGCAACATCTGTGTTCTGTGTAGTCCCTAAGCACTCCGACATTGAAGAAATGTCAAATAGATCGAGCAGGTGCAGTGATACCTTTGGCGGGCTTGCCTTGCTTCATCCATCCATCCTTTCCCTGCTCCCATTCAAAGTAGGAAGCAGTGGTGATGACATTGCTTTTTTTCTTTTCACCAGGTGAAATCCTTTTTATTCTCGCATTATTTTAATGTTTAATTGGATTTTATTGTGATTTTATTGTGAATTGCTGGATGCTGTGCTATTTTCATCTGTGCTTGTTGTCAACCATCCTGAGATGCTAGTAATGGGACAGTCTATAAAAGCCATAAATAAATGCATGCATCAATCTACCTTTTGCTGGCTCCTTCCTCCCGTAGCACCTCTTGCGGAAGGAGCTTGAACCATCAGTTTCTTAGACTGAAATGCACATGAAAATGCCACTTGTGCACAAGCTTTCCCCAAAGACTTTAAAATCGAAGTGTGTGTGTGTGTCTTAAGGAGGAACAACACACTAAACAAAATAATTGTGACCCACCATGTGTCTCCGCAGTTGCCGAAGGCTGAAACTGAATTCAGCAGGGATGAATTATAAAGGTGTGGACACCCGGCTGAGAATCATGCTCTTGTCTTATAAAGCTGTGGAATGCAAGGACTTCTTGCTTTCAGTCCAGGGATGGTGTTAAAGGAGAACCCTCAAGACTCCTTTGAGGGAGTCTTGTTTCCCTTCATCTCATTCCCCACTCTCAACAGTCTGCATGCTTATATGGAAATGTTAATGATCGAATTGGGAAGCGGTGTTCATATTCTAAGGCTCTAGTTCCCATGTTCTGGCAGCAGCATTAGATTTTTCAATGCTGGGAGTATGTGAGGTGCCTCCATTACTCCTCTGGGTACAACAGTAACCACATGACTGAGCTTTTAATAGTCCCAATAGTGAGGAAGGAATGAGTATGCAGGCAGGTTGATCATTTCCCCGAATAACGAACTGAACTGGTGAATTCCAAGAGGATCAGAGCCACAGAGAAATATACGAGAGGGAAGACACCAGCTGGGGAAATGTCAAGGTTTGCCGAAGTACAGCAAATACAAATTTTGCAGAAGTGCAGAAAGTATTTTTTATGAATAAGCAAAAAGCAGTCAAAGAACATATCCTTTACAGAATGTCAAGTAGCCATAGCAGGTTGGGTGTGTCAATTGGAAAAGTGTGAAGGAAAATGGCATGGGGTGGAAGAGGGTATGCCTGACAAAGCCCCCAAATGGAACAACTGTGTTGCAGCCAAACTATCCCTGGTTTGGAAATGCATATTATATAATATAATGCAGCATAGGCATCCTGGGCATTGTTTATCATCCTCCCAAAGCCCACAGATATCTGTGTAATGTTTAAAACTTCAGTTCAGTGTAACCTGCTTTTCTGTATATTCGGTGCTTCTTCATCCAGCACGTAATTATTGTATGGAAGTCGCTGCCGCAGGGTGTGGCAAGGGGGCCATCAGCTTAGATAATTGGAAAAGGGGATCAGAGAACTTCATGGAGGAGGAGGAGACTATCAGCGTCTACTAGATGTGATGTAGACTCCTGGTTCAGAAACAACGGAGAACCTTGTTACACCTTCAAAAGATAGATGCCAAGGTGATGTTCCTAAAAGTATAGTTCATCAAGACATTCAGTTCTATTTTCCATGGTTTCTGTAAGGACCGTGGGCATTTTTTATCACAGTATGAATCTTAATTGGCTCATTGTAATGATGTCTGTTATCACAGAACACACTTTGTGACTTTATGAACTACATTTTGTAAACTGCAGTTGCCAAGGAAGTCATCACTGTCCTTTTTTTTTAAATTTGAGTTGGCACGCACACACATTATGTGTGTGTCCACCTGCCAATCTGGAGTTGAACACACAACACACCTGATGGCGTGGCCTGTGTCCGTGACGGAATATTATGCAAGAGTATGTGCATTTTGTTTTGCTGTGGCAAATTAACATGGCCACCCTTCTGGAAATCAGGGCACCTTGACGGCAAGCAAATACATTCTGGCATGAGCTTTTCATGGTCACTCAGTTCTATCTGACCCTGACTGAGAAGCAGTTTGCCTTTGAGGAACAGTTGCTGTGCGGTTCAGTTCAGCTGCACTGAAATCAGGTTATTGCCTTCGTGCCCTGCCTGTGAGTTTCCCTGAAACATCCGTTGGCCATTGTAGGAAAATAGGTCGCTGGTCTGGAAGCACCTTTGGTTTGCTCCAGCACAGCTCCTCTGTTATGTTAAAGAGTTCATTAAGTTTAATTAAGATCTGTGGCTTGAAGAACAAGCCTGGAGACTATTTTCAGCCACATGCCGCAGATCATTGCAAATGAGGCTCAGCATAAAGTGTTTACCTCACTCTGTGTTTGATTTGAGAGACCTTGCCAGTTTTGCAAATGGTTGATGTGCATTGCAAGCGGTGGGAACCACCACTGCATGAACTAATGGAATAAAAAATATGGAACATTGGACATATCATAAAGGCCAGGACGGGAGAAGGAAACCAAGCAGCAGTAGTGGGATGCAAATATGAAACGAGATGATGGTGCAATTTCATGGTGTAAGACATCCTTCCTCATCCTGGGGGTCCTCCAGTTCTCCTAAGCATTGGTGATCCTGGTTGAAGTCCAGAAGATGTGTCAGGTGCCCAGTCAGAGAAATGATACTTTAGGCTCACCTTTTCTAAACCGGTGCCCTCCAATTCCGAGCTCTTGCCATAGGGACCCGTGTGAAAATAACATGACCCCAGCTGCTCAAGGTGGGCCAGTGAAATGGATCCTTTTCATGTGTGCGGCATCCCAACTTCATTGGGCCGTGCCAGGGTGCTGGTGTCTGTTCGGATTTCCCTGTGGAATCGGCCGCCATGCAGCTCACCGTGTGTGTGCGTGTGTGTGTGCGCGCGCGCGCACTTGAGAAGAGAGACTAGGAATAGCAGAAATCCACTCTGAGTTTTATCTCCTCTAGGGAATACCTGGTATTGTAGGTAACAAGGTTAGATGTGCAGAGCTAAAAACTACCATTTACGCCACTATAAGAGCTTCAAAGAAAATGCATCCTGTGGGAGTCTGAATACTACCAAAGCGTGCATATTTAAGCAAGCACCCTACGCAGGCAGCGCCGAGTGTTTGCAAGGGGAAAGTGTTTTCTGTTCGCCCACGACAATTTTGCCGTGCATCAGCAAAAGGCTAGTTCCCAAATAGATTTGCCAGACCCTTTAGTTATACACTGCCTGCAGAATTGAAATACGAGTGGATTGCTGCATTCTGCCTCTCTCGTAATGTGTCATCAGATTAGCATCCATCGGATTTACTGGGTTTGAGTTGCCCTGTAGTAACTGCCACTACAAATAGCCCTGACCCGGCTGGCAGATTTCTGTCAACAGGAAGATGCCTGAAAGCGCGTGTACTTGAGCGAGCTGCCTGAAGCCTTTGTTCCATGGACTCAGCTGCCAATGTGCAGAGGAACATTGGAGGACACTGCAAGGCTGGGACTGGGTGGGAGAGAGGGAGGGAGGGAGGGACGCCAGGCCAGAACACTTGAGGTCCTAGCTGGGGCATGAAACATACTTGAGCATGAATATTCTGGAACAACCAGCCGCTTCAAGAGCTGGCATGGCATAGGGGCTGCATGCTGGACTGGGAGCCCTGGGTTCTAGTCTCCACTAAGCTGTGGAGCCTACTGGTGACTTGGGTTAGTCTTGACTCTCAGGCAACCTGCTTTACAGGACTGTTGTCGTGAGGATAAAGTGGAGCTGTGCAAGCCACTTTGGAGTCATCACCAGATGAAATCTATACATGCAGTGCAGTATTGATGCTGCTAATTTCACAGCACCATGTTCTTGTTTTGTTTCAGAGATGGAATTTTGTGATACCCCACACATTTTGTGCACTGGCTACCAGGCGGACATGCGTGCCGTTTCCCAGCGTGGCTACCCCATAGAGATGGGCTCGGATGCTGACACCGAGACGGAGGGTGGAGCATCGCCAGACCAGGCCTTGAGGATGTGGATGTCTGGGATGAAGTCGGAACACAGCTCCTGCTTATCAAGCCGTGCTAACTCAGCTCTGTCCCTCACGGATACAGACCACGAAAGGAAATCTGATGGAGAGAATGGTAATGGGGAAAATTGGTAATTGGTCACCACGGGTGACCAATTTTTTAAAAGTATGGAACAGCTGTGCTTTTTGCATGAGTGGATGGTGCCAGGTCAAGATGTTCTGCTTCCTGAAGTGGAGCCTAAAATGTACTTTCTCTCCCTGCCAAGACCAGCGATGTAAAAATCCTGCACTGGCTTATTTGCATGCTTTTAAAAAGAGCATTCCTCCAGGGCAGAGCAGGAGTCGCAGAGGTACCACCATTCTGTAATTCGGCCAGATGCCCCGTTCTGGCTTTCAAGTGGAGGCCTTCAAAGTGGGAGGTTAAGAGGCTGGAGCAGCAGCAGGAAACTAGCATCCTTGCAGCTGAAGTCCGCTCCCCTCTCTACCTCTTTGATTCTCTGATCTCAGCACTAGCTGGTGCAGAACTTTCCATATCAGCTGCAAGAGCGGGAGGGGATTGGAGTGCAGATCCCCAGCTCTGGGATTGGAGTTCTGCTTCTGCCCTTGGATCTGGGGATCTGAAGTATCCTATGGCCCCCTGGGCACTCCCTAGGAGCCATCGGATCACTCTCATTTATGTATTCACTTACTTATTTGCTTCCCTACAGGTTTGCTAGGGAAAGGTACTCAAGCCAGCTTGCAAGCTCAATTAAAATCTATTAAAACAATATACTAAACTGCAATAAAATATAATTGCAGAGAAAAAGGAGCATGGAGCTGGGCCTTGACGTTTCCAACATAGCACCTGAAAACAGCAGAATGAGCAAGGCAGCCAAACCACATGGTCAGTCTTCCATACTTCCAATAATGTACTGTATTTCTATTTCCATTATAATTATTTCTAAGTCAGTATTTATGCATACATATTTGCATTGCAGGCTTTATGCAAATTAGTATCCTTTCTGGGCCTCTTTTTTGCCAGCTTACAAATGGCCGCTCCAACGTGAGGCTTGGCTGATGTGCAGATGAGTCAAACTGTGAGGAACCTGCGACCCACACATGTGGGAGTGGAACAGGAGCGGTTCTGCTAATTGCAGTTGTGAGATTGTAGCTCTCCTGGTTGCAGCTCCTCCTTGAAGGGGCATACCCATCAAACTATTGTGTGCCCTTTTGTAGAACTCATTGTGTCTCATTTTGTAGAATCCGTTGTATTTTTAGAATGCAGGAGCTTTGCCTGTTAAATTTGTGCTGTTTGTGCAAGTGCTCATTTACTCTCCATCACCATTTCACCTTTTCTCCCTCCTTTGCACATTGCATGTCTCTGCCATCCTCGTGGACTAACAGCAGTAGGGTTTCCCTGTGTTTTCTTTTACAGACAATGGTCCTCTGTATGAAGGACTGTCCTGCCCATTCCAGTTTTAAGACAAAAGACTGGAAAAACTGCCACCCATCAATTACTGGCAGTTGGACAAAAGGCAGAAATGACAGATACATCAGTCAAGAAGTATGGTGTATTTCAATTTTAAATTACAATTACTATTTTCTAGTTTGCATCTGTACATACAAATTAGCAAATGCAAATGTTATGCAGACGCCTGGCTTCTTTCATCCACTTTTGAGGGGATTCATTAGTGGTCACCTAGGCAGTGAGAAGATGTGGTCCCTTTTGCATATTTTGAGGAATGAGTTGTGATATCCCGCTGCAACTCTTAGTCCCTGGTGCCTTCCACAGAATGCGTGTTGAGCATCGTTTCCCTGTATAGCTGGAGAAGGAGGAGGTGTGTAACCCATGAGGTGTGCAAAGCACATGGCTAGCATCTCTGTGCTGAAGATGAAGAGCAGTTCACATGGGGGGAGGACTGGACTGTGTGCCTTCCTGGTGGTCGCTTGCCTGAGTGCAAGAGCCGCATGCCTGCCCACACCTTTGCTTGTGAAAATCATGTGAGGCCAGAAAGATTTGTCCCTTTCTCCCCGACACAGCTGCAGCCAAGGGACCCCTGCAAAGCAGGAATCTTCACCAGCATGCACTGGGCTGTGACAGCAGTTCGGAACTGCCCCTGTTTGCTCCTGAAGCTGAGCAAATCTCTAGTTTGAATTGCTAATAAAGAATGACTAGTTTCTTGGGGAATCATTGCCTGGTCCAGCTTTACTATAAATAGCTCTGTTCTATCACATAAACGTAACTGTAATGTGTGACCAAAAAAAACCCCCTTAAAAGCCCTTTAGCAGTAACACTTCAGGATATAAGTGCTGGCTGAGTCATGGGAAGAAGGGAATGGAAGAGCGGAGAGGCTGGATGCTTTTCCATGCTTAGAGACATTCAGGAAGCAACTAGACAGGTATGGGATGGTGTAACTGGCGTCCTGCACCAGCAGGTGGGTGGCTCCCTTGACCTTCTTGGCCACTTCTGACCCGACTAGTCTATGAAGATTGACTTAATGGGAAAACACATTTTTTAAATATGTGCAGATACCATTTTAATGCATTGCTAAACTCTGCTTTTTCTAAGCATAATGTACCTGCTAAGAGGAACTGGTGAACACTGCAGTGCAAGGAACTCTTTTCCTCTGGCAAGAAACCTAAGATGATGTAGACAGTGCTCATCCTCTCCATTTATATTTGCGACCCTGTAGGTGGGCTAAGCTGATTGGTTTCAAGTCGTCCAATGGGCTTCAGGGCTGCGAAGGGACTGTCTCCTGAGTCCCAGTCCAACACTTGGTCTGTGGTACTACCCTAGCTCACAGAGGTCGGCTCCCTCACTCTTGTCAGTTAGAAATGTTCGGTGGTGGTGAAGGGAAGCCGCTGAATAGGAAGGGAATGGTTCTGAAGGAAGTAGTGGTTGGTTTTTAAGATGGGATGGTAAAGGAACGAGGGTGGAATAAGTCTTCAGATGCATATTTTTAGAAGTATAAACAGAAGCATGCCTACTACAAAGAGGAGGGAAATTTCATAGGTGAGGAAGAGCAAGAGGAAAAGTCTGGGATTGTGAGGTGATGGGGTGGGGTGGGATAGATCTGCACCTTATGCTAGCAAATCTGTTTCCCAAATGAGCTGGGCTGATGCAAGTATAGATCCCAAGAGATATTTGAGAATAAAGGCACACTTTATCCTCCCCATGCTATGTTCCCCCCTGTGAATAGCCTCTGGTTGTTCTTTTTCATTTGCTTGCTTGCTTCTGCCCTCTAGCCATCACTCTACTGTGGTTCCAGAGCATCATTGTGTATGGGTTGAGAACATTGCAAGTCCTGTAATGGGGTGGACCGGGAATCCAGCCAGTCCAGCATTTTGTGCATACCATGGCCTAGCAGCTGCTCACAAAAAACCCAAAAGCAGGGCAGAAACCCACAAGGAGGTTAAAGAATTTTTTGTGTGGAAAGGCTGGGTTTTGTAGTAGGGGGAAATTGCAAGTGCTGGAGGAGTGAAGCATTGGTTTTCAAGGGCGGATTCCACCCTACCAATTCTCCATCCGGTGTTGTGGCTGCAAGGATTCAGAGCCCTGGATTTGCTTTGTGAATGGTAGTTCCTTGGATTTTCGGGGGACAGTCTAGAAAAGCAGAGAGAATGAAAATGAGAGAAGGCGGGACATATGGGCAGAAGGAAGGAAGATTAGTGCCAAACTCAGATTTTCCAAGGTATGATGGTTTTTTTGTCCTAGAGGTTCTAGAGGTTGAGCTTGGGACCTTTTTCATGCAGAACAGATGCTGTTCCACAGACATCCATCCCCTTCCTTGCTGCTTTTGTAATATTTTGCTAGTCCTGTTACTATTTTATTTTTGGTCACTGCCATTTTATTTTTGTTCTCTTAAGTAAAGTGGGTGAACATTTTTCAGTAAACGGACCAGATGCGACAGATGGCCTAACTCATAATGAAAACTCATAGCAGAAAAGACGGAGATAGTAGGAACAAAGAAAAGAGAACGGTCGTACACAATATGGAGAGTGAAGCTGAGCTCATTCAAGCATGCTCGCTCACTCTCCTCTTTCGATCCCTCCACTCCAAACTCCTCTGCAGCATTAAATTCTTGCAGCACTAGCGGACAGCATCAACAGAGCTGGTATTTTTAGTGACAGCAGAGAGCAGCTGTGCCAGAGATTGGAAGCAAGTCAGCATTCGGTGTTCGGTGCCCCTGAATTGCAGTGATGTAGAAAACAGCGATCATGGGAAGCCTCCGGAAAGTGGGAAAGTGAAGCCTCCGTAGGGCAAGTTCTCTGTCCTTATCAGCGGGAGGCAATGCTTGCATAAATAGGAAGCGGAAGGGAGCTGTTGCCAGTGCGGCAGCCAAGTCCAACTGTCCCCCAGCCCCACAATAAAACGTGATTGCCCTTCTGCAGTAGGGTTGTGGAGAGAGGCGGCCAGCATTTCCAAGCCAGTGTTTAAGCACACTCTCTGCTTTATTTAGTGGACACAACTGGGAGCAGCATCTCCTTCTGCAAACATGATGCGCAGAATAGTGTGGATTGTTGCCATCATGATCTACCATCACCAATTGGGCCTTTGCCAACAGCCAGTGCGATTCTGGACTTTTTATTGTCCAGCAGCAAAAGAGACTCTGCAAAGATTTTAAGAACTGTTTTACTGCTTTTAGCACTCTCTGCTGCTGCTGATTTTAATTTGGTTTTATGGTGGTGTCATTTTATCCTTTGCTGCTAGTTTTGTCTTTTATTTTGAACTACTTTTCCTTTGGCGTTTATGTGCGTATGATGTGTTTTAATGCATTGTGCATTCCCAAGAAAATGTTGGTGGATGGGTGGTTTTCAAGTATAATATAGTAAATAAATAAACAAACCAATAGATTTAATATTTTTTAGAAGAACCCATTGAAGCAATAAGTAGCATCCAGTACCACCCATCTTTATAACCTGCCTTTTCTGTTTTAAAGAGCTGAAAGATCTTTAAAACAGATCACCAGAGCTTCCTTCTGCAAGCTCTTCTCACCTGCCCCATCCCAGAAATGAGTGCTTTCTAGTTGTACCTTCCAGTTATTTAATTATTAGATTTATATCCCACCTTTTTTCTTTCAAAGAACTCAAAGTGGCTTACATCAATTCCTCTCCTGCTCTCAATCTTATCCCCAC